CTTGATTATAATAAATACAAGGGTTATGCTCTGTGTGTGTACGTCACGGTTTACACAGACATCACATTTCTTCACACAAGTTGGGTCTATATTTGAGAACTCTGAAAACATTTTGATGCTCTATTTTTTTATGGTAGGGACCTGTGTGGCACTGGGCATGATTAGAGGTGAATTGAGAAAACTATGGAACTATGGCACTCAATCTGCAGAGATATCTGGCAGTGCCTGATCCTGTATTTTACTCTCCCTACTGTGTTATATATACTGCATCAAACAACAGATCAGCTCGTGGGAGAACGAAAAAAAACGGGTATTTTCATGGCTCTATTGTCCGGTGTTTTTAACTCCATACGTTTTTACTTTAGAGATTGTGTAAAATATGTATATGATGGAATACTAATTATACACTATATAAGTTTTCAACAAAAAAAATTATACACTTTATAATACTCCGTATATACTTATGTAAAGCGTTGTAACACCCTTCACATTTGGTTCCTGGTGCCCTAATTAATTGCTTTAACTTTTAGTTTTACTTCTTCCCCTCTAGATCAACAGTCAACACTATGTTTTTTTTAGATTAGATAAATAGAGTTTGATTACTTTGATATTAGGAGTTAAAAAACGGAGGGAATTCAGAGCTAACAATTTTAACTCAAAAGAATATGGCCTAAAAGGTGTTTAACAAAAAAAAAAAAGTAATACCGCAATCCCTAGAGTCCTTTACACTTTGTTTTTGTGTGTGGAATTCGTAAGAAAAAGAAAAGAAAATGGACTTTCTTCCTTTTCTTGGCCAAAAATGGATAGAAAATGGGCTTCTCTCTTCTTACCTTATTTTTGCTTCTCATTTCTTTTTCTTCCACTTTTCTTTTCCTCTTCAACCAAGCATTAAATTTGTTTCCACATCGTTTTTTTTTCAAATTCTTTAAACCAAACATAGTAAAATACTAACCTAAAGAGTAGGTTCGGAAGACTTAAATAGAGCTATAATTTCAAATCGGCCAAGATAGAGTTGGATCTGTCGTTGCTGCATGGAAGAATCCCATGCCTAGCGCCCTAGCATGGTCATTCTTTTTTACCGTTTTCAGGTTTGAGTCAATTTTAGTTCGAGTTGGAAATTGTATGTTCATGATCTAGTGTCATCGAGTTCAGGTCGGTCAAATGAACTATGACTTTCTAGCATGGTCATTCTTTTTTACCGTTTTCAGGTTTGAGTCAATTTTAGTTCGAGTTGGAAATTGTATGTTCATGATCTAGTGTCATCGAGTTCAGGTCGGCCAAATTAACTATGACTTTGGTTTATAAAGTTTTTTAAACTCATATTAACACCTGCATTTCCCATTAAATATAAATTAAAGTATCAAAAAATATGTATTAAATTTATTACTCCTATATTATTTTATTTTAATTCTAAATTTATTTTTAGGTATATAAATTAATTTAAAGAATTAAAAAATACATAAATTTTGGAAAAAAAGAAGGTAGTTTTGTAATATCCTTAAAATTTTGTCCTAAAATATAATTTTATATTCTAAAACCAAGAAAAAAATAATTACCCTGAGTATAATTTTATTTTTATAACATTTATGTCATAGTAAAGTATATGATTTTGAAATTTTTTTACATTAGCGGGTTGGTCAGCTTGAGTTTGACCTATTTTCAGCGAGTCACTTCGGGTTCAGTCAACAAAATCTTTATTCAAAACTCAGTGTTTTTTTGGATTGGGTTTTGGATCAAAAAATAGGTTTGTTTTGTTTGAAAACAACATTTTTTATTAATGTTAGTGTTTTGCATAAAAATTTAGTGATGTACTCCGTATATTAGTCCTGAAATCATTAACCTTTACAATTATTGTTTGATAGTCTTATTAAAATGCTAAGGCTGATGTCAAACAGAGCCCGTGTGTATAAAATAAAGATGGAATAACTCTAAAGAATTAATTTAGACAAGGTTTTTTTAAAGAAAAATGCTAGGGTACACCTTTCTAGGGGTACACCAAAGGTGTACCCCAAATATCCCCCATCCCCTCCTTGTCCATTAAAAAAGGCAAAAAAATTCAAAAAAAATAAGTAAATAAAAATCAAATAAAAATGTGTGGATGAAAAGAGGGTGGTGTACATTTAGGGTACACCTTTTGGTGTACCCCTAGCATTACTCTTTTTTTAAACCACAAATTTGGACCTTTATACCCTTTTGGAGAGAAGGGTGGATATGAAATCATCTAGGGCTTGGAGGGAAGAGCCTTTGCAGCCGTCAGATTGATCTTCATCATCGTCTTCTTCCTCTTCCTTCACAGCTCCTCTGATCAGTTCCCTGACCCGACCCGCCTTCTCCCTCATTTCCCTGCTCCCCAGCACAAGATCTACCACCCTCTTCACATCGCTCCTCTCCAGATTGCTCCGGACTCCCTTCGTCAGCTCCACGCACACCCCCATTTCCTCCGCCATCATCTTCGAATTGAACGCCTGCTCCGCCGCCATTGGCCACCCGATCATCGGCACCCCCTGGCTCAAGCTCTCCAGGCTCGAATTCCACCCGCAGTGGCTCAAGAACCCTCCCGTCGATCTGTGCCACAGGATCTCCAGCTGCGGCGCCCAGCCGTGGATCACCAGCCCCTGTTCCCTCTCTTCGAACCCCTCCGGCAGCCATTCCGCCCTGAATTCCCCTTTCGGATCGAATCCGACCGGCGGCCGTATCGCCCAAATGAATGGCTTCCCGCTGTCTTCCAACCCCAACGCCAATTCCATCATCTGTGAAGCAGATATACTGTTCTGAGATCCGAACGAAATGTAGAGAACAGAGCGTTCTGGTTTCCTGTCCAGCCATTCTATACATTTCTCCGGCGACAGACCGTGAGCCTTCCCGGCCGTCCGTTTACCGGGAATATCTGAGGACGGCCCGTCCTTAAGCATTCCCGGAGGGAGGAAAGGGCCGATGCACCAAACCGGAAGCTTCGTGAAGCTTCCGAGTGCTTCAGAACCCAACGGTTCGATTTCCTTGACGGTGTTGCAGAGCCATCCGAAGGAGTCCAGGCTGTCGGAGATGAATGGCTGGAAGACCTGAGACCACGCGTCTCTGCCGTCCGCGGCTCTCATGTGTGGGTGGAGGTGGGAGAGGTTGAAGCGGCAGGAATCCGGGAACCCCGGGATGGCGAACTCGCCGTCCTCTCCGGTGGCGGAGATGTGGGGGAGGTTCAGCCAGAAGGAGTTGTAAGCGGCGGAGCCGTAAGCTCCGGCAGTGGCGAAAGAAACGTTGACCGTCCCGCAGGACCGGGCGACCTCGCTCCCCCACCCGACGAACAAGTCGGAGATTATGCAGAGCGGAGGCTTGCCGTCGGCCTCAGTGATGTCCGCCACGAGACAGCGGAATGGGTCCTTGAGGGAGCGGGTGGAGCGGATGAGGGTGATCATGTGGTGCAAGGGCAAGGCCTCGGTGTTCTCCGTTTCCGGAGGCAAGCCGTGGGCGGCGGAGTCGAAGGGCAGCGCCACCAATCGGATACCCTGTTCTTCGTCGCCGGCGGCGGCGGCGCAGGAGGCGAGGTAGCGGACGTTGAGAGGGGTGGTGACGAGGGTGACTCTGAAACGGGTTCTTTGTTGGATTCTCTTTGCCAAGCCCATGAATGGAATCATATGGCCATGCGCCATGAATGGAACCATCACAATGTGCTCTGTTTTTGACTCTTCCATTTTCTTTTTTCTCTCACTTCTTTTGCTTCTCTTTCTCTGTTTTCCACTTTGAGGAATGAAGGAGGAGTACCTATATTTCTCTACTTTGTTGGAAGATGGACACTTTAAAAAAATAAAAATAAAATAAAATTATAGGATTAGAAATTCAACCATGCTCTTTTTTTTGAAAGTTTCAACCATGCTAATACACCAAGAAATATACTTTAAGTTATACCATAAAGGGATACCACTAGTATTTTAATGATTTATACTGACACAAAATATTACTTCGTAGTTCAATCAAAAAAATTTACATTAACATTTCTATTATTGTAAAACATCATATTAGTATTGTACTGATACAAAATGTTGGTACATGCCTTTGGAGTACAAAGTGAAGTATAATTTTTAGTCGATCCCGGTGCTTTTCTTTGGGGGAATTGGGGGTACTATTCTTTTTCTACCCCGGTGTCTAGAATGACATGCTTTTTGGACAAGAAAGATCAAATTGTAAAAAAATTGAGGCGCCTATAAAATGTGATTATTTTCATAATGTTTTTAATCAACGTTTGTATTTTAACCAAATGTTTTTCAGTGTTTACAATACTTGTTTTAACTTTTTTCAAAAATTTTTTAACAATGCAAGTTATTTTTAGAATTGTTTAAATTAAATATTGTAATTTGTAATAATTTAAAAAGAATAAACGCCTAAGTTAACACCAAAAAACACACAGGCGTAAGTTGTTATGAAATACTCCCTACTTTATCGAGTAACTAATGGGAGCAGTGCATTGTTAAAGGCCCAACCCGTACAAACCCATGTGCAAATTAGGGAAGGGTGATTTGATATGTCCATGGTTGTGGGATTTGTGGCAGGCTATTCGTCCTTTCTTTAGCTCCTCCCAAAAAGTTACGGAGTACGTAGTATCTACCCTTTTAGCCATTGTTGGGATGGTGAGAAGTTAGTGAAAAAGAGAATGTGAAGTGAGAAACACAATTTTTAATGTATTTTCTCTTGTTTGTTTACATAAGAAAATGATAGAGAAGAGAGAAAAAGTGGGTGGGGTTCAAGTTGAAAAGTTTTCTCTTTTGGTGATTTTAGTATCATCAGTTTATTTTGTGTGATTGGATTCACTTAAATCGGACAAGAATTTAAATAGCCGTTGTCAAACGAGTTAGGAGGCATGGAGTGCACGTTCGTTCAACGATATTACAAATTCACAGTGGGAGTCCGGGGGTGAAACCCCCGGGGTAGCGGGATCCAAGGGGCAAAGTTCTTTATATTATCTGAAAGCGTTTATACGCAATTCGTTATACTAGCGATTCGTTATACTATCGAGTTCTTCATCAACACTGCTCCGCAATGTTCTTTATACTATACAATAATTCCTACAATCTCATGTGGTGAGAAAAGTAGATTATGCACAGAAAAAATGATACTCCCTCCGTCCTATAATGATCTTCCCAAAGCACTATTCCAACTTCACGGGAATTTATATTTATTTGTGTTTTTTCATGGCATATATGATAAAATAAAATATTCTTGTCACCACTTGTTTTCTTGAACTTTTGGTGTAGTTTTTAAATATGTATGTTTTATTTTTTATTTCTATACCAATATTTAAATAAAATAGATTGAAAAAACTTGGGATTTTTCTTCGTTTTGCGAACCGGGAAGATCATTATAGGACGGAGGGAGTATTACAATTTTGCACATATTTTAATCTCTCATCATCGATCCATTTAAAAAAGGATAAAATGTCTTTTTTATCACATTTCTTTTTTCTCATTTTTTCTCACCATTTTCTCGTCATCCAAACGACCATTATTTTGTTTATATTTTCTTTTCATTTTCTCACCATTTTCTTTCCTATCATTTTCTTTCCTACTATTTTTTTCCCTCTCATTTTCTCATACCGTCCAAACAAAAGATTAAGATGGAACGCCTACCCCGGACGCCCCCACACTTTGATCTAGACAGGATTGCCAGAGGGAATCAAGTTATAATCTCAATTTGGTCCCTAAAGAGACTGCCTCGTTCCAGGTACACACAAGGAGCTATTATAAATGACATAACTTCCACATTGTCGTTGTTGGGATTTGACCCTATGATCAACAGGATTTACATCCTCTCCTTGGACCAAATGAAATCCCCATGCGGGATCTTGTTGCCCTTTTAGAATGAAGCATGCTAAGTACATGACTTGTACACTACTTTGCACTTTGTATCCCTAAGCTTTACATTATACATTGATGACTTACATTACATCAAATATCAGTGTAAAATTCTTCAATCACACTGACATTTTATGCTAATGTGTCAGTGCAAATCTTTGGGTATAAAATAGTGTATGCCAAATGGGGTACATCTAGCTTTGTTCTTTTATAATTAAAAGTTTGTTTACTTCAACTTATTCTTATTACTTAAGAAATATTACTTATTTTTATTTGAATCAATTTAGATCAGATGAGATCGAATCAGATTATATCAAATAAAAAACAACTTTAAATATACCTACATTCAGATAATAATAAAACTTATTTCAATCAACTTAGATCAAGAGAATAAGCATGAAGCAAGTTGTACATCGCTTGAATTACAACAAAGTATACACTAAGGGTTTATAAACGTTAAAGTTATACTCCGAATCTTAAAAGGATCTTAAGTAATGGAAAATATAGCTAAACAATTTATCTAAAATATAGCTAAACAATTTAAACTTCCAACATATTTTATAATTCTATAAATAGTGCATTTATGCCTTCTTTCTTAGTAACTAGTACCACACCCGTGCGTTGCACGGGTCATATTTACATTATTAAATTAAGATCTTTTTTGAAAAATACAAACTAATATCTAATAGAATATATAGATTTTATTATTTTCAGGTACAAAGTAATTAAAAATTATTGAATTACAATATTTAACATATACACTCCTTCAGGATAATCTCTGTCATAGTTTTTGCACTTAAACCTAGAACCAAGATAACATCATTAGTTGGTATTTTCAATGTCAACCACATCACCAATTATCTAATGATATCCTTTCTGCAATTAAATCTTAAATTTATGTGTGTAGTTTTAAAAATATAAATAAGTAAAATTAAAATTTTGGCAACAAATTTTGTTCTTATTTAATGGTTTTTTACCATTTTTCTTGCCGAACTAATAATAAAATGGAGAGCTTTATATACCACATAAAAATAAAGGAAAATGACCGTATTTATAGTATGAAAATTTTTATTCCTTTTTTCTATTTAATGGCGTCAATTTTTGTTATAATTTATAATTTTCGGAACAAACCTAGCCCTGTAATAAATGGAAACTTTTTAAATATTCATGTCTCTATTTTGGGGTACACTATAATTAATGGCACCATTCACATTTATTATTATTATTATTGTTGTTGTTGTTGTTGTTGTTGTTGTTATTATTATTATTATTACCATATAAACATGTGTAAGTAACCATTGTTAATTGACCAAATAGAAGACAAATTACCATTTCTAAATTCAACACTTACCATATATTATCTCACACTTATATATATTTTTTATATTCTTCCAACCAAAATAAGGTATAATTATCTTATACGTTTGTCATTATTATTACACTTATTATCATGTTTATTATTATTTTTATTATTATTACATTTATTATTATTATTACGATATACACATATATTTGCGTATTCTTTCAAAAAAATAAGGTATAATAAATTTAGCTTATTAATAAAAACTAAAATTTTTTATTAAAGAAATGAAAACTTTTTATTAAAAAATACTTTGACTTCTTTTGGGAAATGTATCAATAAGCTTTGTCAACCCTTTCATAATAATAAGTATAATTTTGGGACACACTATAATTAATGACGTCTCTTTTTTTATAATTTATAATTTTATCAGAACAAACCTAGTCCTTTAACAAATGAAAACTTTTTAGTAATGGCGTCTATTTTGCGGTATACCATAATTAATGGCATCATACACATTTATTATTGTTATTATTGTATGGTACATCAAACACACTCATCTTTCTGTAATTGTTTATATTCTTAACATTTTTATTTTACTGTTTTCATTACTATTTCGATGAAAAGGTAATAATTATTTCATCCAAAAATAATATATTATTATAAAAGGTAATAATGTAACGTAAATATGTAAACAGTTTCCGAAAAGGAAACAAAATATAAAATAATTTATTTATATAAAATTCTGTTTAGTACCCGAATTTTACAAAATTGGAAGTGATATAATAAAAAAATTTATTACCATTTTTATTTTATTGTTTTTCTTACTATTTCAATGAAAATGTAATAATAATGTATGGTACATAAAATGCACTCATCTTTGTTTAATTATTTATATTCTTGCCATTTTTATTTTAGTATTTTTATTAGTATTTCGACGAAAAGGCTAGGTAATAATGTATTTCTTCCAAAAATAATATATTTCCATAAAAATAATATACTCCCTCCCTCCTGAAATGATCTTTCTATGATTTTTATTGGTCAAAGTTTGTAAACTTTGACCTTGATGTATGGACAAAATACATTGTATTTCGATATAAATATAATATCAATAGTCTCCTTATGAAACATAGTTTTGAAATATTAAATTTACATAAAATATATCTATGTATAAATGTAGATATTAATGGTCAAAGTATAAATTGGAGACCGCAAAAAGTCAAATGAGAAAATCATTTCCGAACGGATGGAATATTAATATAACGTAATTATATCAACGGCTAGGTTCTAGAGCCACTCAAAAAGAGTGGCTACGGAAGCCACTCACCCAATTGGGACACCTACGGTGCTCCGTTCGCAAAATTGATAGTTCCTAACCCTTCTATCCCCCTGGTAAACCCCCACCCGGTTCCGACCCCAACTCATCCCCTAACCACGTCAATTGCGGGGTGCAAATTTAGTTGACTTTGGAGTCAAAAAAATTAACATCAAAGGTGAAAAATTAACATTATTTATATTTATTTTAATGATGTATATTTTAGTTTATAACCAAAATTTTTATAAAAAGTAATAAAAATTTATTTCCTCTTTAAAAGGTAATAATGTGTCGTAAGTGAAATTAATTATCTCTATAAAAGGTAATATATTACCATAAGATTGAAAGCTAAGCGTAAAATTTTTAAAAGCCATTAAAACCTTTCCATAATTAAATTGACATTATATAAAAGATATATTGGGCAATAGTGTAAAAAAGTTTCCTAAAAATAAACGTTATTTCAAAACTATTTCCATTCTTACCTTTTTTAGCTTAGTATTTTTATTGCTTTTTCAACGTAATACATGCCTTACAAAAATAATATATTTATATAAAAATATTCAACCGTTTAACAATTATAAATTATTAAACACGTGAACGTTCTATTTCAATATTATTAAACACGGAAACTTGATATATTATTAAAAATTCCATAACATAATACGTCATATGCACATTTATTATTAATTATTACACATGTAAAAATTTCTTCGTATTAATTATTAAGCACAATTATACGTGGAAACGTTCCAAAGATGAATAATGGCCGTGGATCAAGATTCTGACGCTAATAGACGGTTCACAACGTAGGTGCGTTTGGGCGGGAAAAATTTCCCCTGCTTTTAAGAATAGTATAGATGGAAAACGAGACGACAAAGAGAGTAATACATTTTTCTACATTTATTTCACTTATCATTTTAGTGTTGCTCCAAGTCTCCAACCATATCATATCATCTAAAATAAATACTTTTTATAAGCGTTTAGTTTTTTCTTTCTTAATCTTACATTGTTGAGTATTGAAGACTTTTTGCTCCTTTGATCCAACATTATCTTTTTCGTTGTGCATTACCTTATTTGATTAAAGTTATTTTTAATTCAGTTTATTGAAAAATTGGTGCAGAATTGATAAATAAAAACTACGTATTTTAAAATTATATTAAAATTTATTAGAATATAAAAAGTGACATGACTACACTTTTTATCAAATGACTAACGAAAATTGACACACGAAATAAATAAAGTTTAACTTTATTTTTAAATAAACAAAATAAAATGTGGCATTACTATTTTTCAACTGAGTAACGAAAATAGATAATGAAATTAATAAAATTTTATCATATAAATAGTAAACATGCAATTATTTTAGGACAAGATAAATTCTTGTGTGATCTTTAGATTCAGCTCATTTTATGGATATTAATACATGGACATGTTATATATTTCAGCCAAGTAAAAAGAAAGAAACCAAACTATAAGTCCATTGAAAATATGCAAGAGAGTCTATATTTCACATATAAACATTAAGATCACAATAACACCACTCATAGAATGATGAAGTATGTACTACTTTGCACTCCCTCCATCTCATAATAATGATTTATTTCACTATTCATATAGTTAAATTGTATATGTACTTTTTTTACCTATCTTTTTTTTGTCATTTGATAAAATAAAATAGTTTTATCACAACTGATTTAGTAAATTTTTTGAAATACTCCATTTTAGTGAAACAGAGTATTTTTAAATATAAACTTTCTCTATTCTATATTAACTTACATAGAAATGTGAATGAATGTATAAAATGTTAATGGACATCAAATTATATAATCACTTTATGTACCTATTTTCTTTGATCATTTAATAAAATAAAATAATCTTATCACAATTTGTTTCGTAAAAATTATTTGAAGTACTCCATTCCAGTGAAATGGAGTATTCTTTTTTAAATATATATACTTTCTCCAATCCATATTAATCACTCTTACATAGAAAATGAATGTATAAAGTGTTAATGGACAATCTATACTATTCTTAAAAGTAGGGGAAATTTTTCCCGCCCAAACGCACCTACGTTGTGAACCGTCTATTAGGGTCAGAAACTTGATCCACGGCCATTATTCATCTTTGGAACATTTCCATGTATAATTGTGCTTAATAATTAATGCGGAGTAATAATGTTTACATGTGTAATGATTAATAATAAATGTCATATGACGTATTATATTATGGAATTTTTAATAATATATCAAGTTTCCGTGTTTAATAATATTGAAATTGAACGCTCACGTGTTTAATAATTTATAATTGTTAAACGATTGAATAATTATATTATTTTTGTTAGGCATGTATTACGTTGAAATAGCAATAAAAATACTAAGCTAAAAAAGGTAAGAATGGAAGTAGTTTTGAAATAACGTTTATTTTTAGGAAACTTTTTTACACTATTGCCCAATATATCTTTTATATAATGTCAATTTAATTATGGAAAGGTTTTAATCGCTTTTAAAAATTTTACGCTTAGCTTTCAATCTTATGGTAATATATTACCTTTTATAGAGATAATTAATTTCACTTACGGCACATTATTACCTTTTAAAGAGGAAATAAATTTTTATTACTTTTTATGAAAATTTTGGTTATAAACTAAAATATACATTATTAAAATAAATATAAATAATGTTAACTTTTTACCTTTGATGTTAATTTTTTTGACTCCAAAGTCAACTAAATTTGCACCCCGCAATTGACGTGGTTAGAAGGATGAGTTGGGGTCCGAACCGGGTGGGGGTTTACCAGGGGGCTAGATGAGTTAGGAACTATCAATTTTGCGAACGAAGCACCGTAGGCAGGGGCGGACCTAGGGTGGCTGCAGTGGGGTCACTTGCACCCACTCCAAATTTTTTTATTATTAGTAGTAGTATATAATTAGATATTATATGTAGACTAAGGGCATTCAAGGAGAGTATATTTATATGTGATTAGGTGTTATTTTTTGAAAATGGAAGAGAGGACACATCCTATAGTTGTGTAGAATTTTATGTTTTAATTCTTTTAGATTTGGAAAACTGAAACTTAATTAAAAAAAGTTCAATTTTTTTTTGAAATGTATGAAAAAGTTTAATTGTTTTAAAAAGATTCCTAAGATATACTTAGTATTTGAAGAAATGTCTAGAATTACTACTTTAGTTCTTTAATTTTTTTGGTTAAAACAATGAGCGTATTATTGATACTTTTTATACAGTATTTCAAAAATATTGCATATAATTTACAATATTAATCTCAGAATGCTATTTATTGATACTTTTTTTACCTTTAAGGTTTTAAATTTATTGTTATACAAATATTAACATTTTTTTTGTGCACAAAGTGTGAACCCACTCCCCGAAAATCTTGGGTCCGCCACTGACCGTAGGTGTCCCAATTGGATAAGTGGCTTTCGTAGCCACTCTTTTTGAGTGGCTCTAGAACCCAGCCGTTGATATAATTACGTTATATTAATATTCCATCCATTCGGAAATGATTTTCTCATTTGACTTTTCGCGGTCTCAAATTTATACTTTGACCATTAATATCTACATTTATACATAAATATATTTTATGTAAATTTAATATTTCAAAACTACGTTTCATAAGGAAACTATTCATATTATATTTATATCGAAATACAATGTATTTTTTCCATACATCAAGGTCAAAGTTTACAAACTTTGACCAATAAAAATCATGGAAAGATCATTTCAGGAGGGAGGGTGCCTTTTATGGAAATATATTATTTTTTGAAGAAATAGATTATTACCTGGCCTTTTCGTCGAAATACTAATAAAAATACTAAAATAAAAATGGTAAGAATATAAATAATTAAACAAAGATGAGTGCATTTTATGTATCATACATTATTATTACGTTTTCATTGAAATAGTAATAAAAACAAAAAAATAAAAATGGTAATAAATTTTTTTATTATATCACTTCCAATTTTGTAAAATTCAGGTACTAAACAGAAGTTTATATAAATAAATTATTTTATATTTTGTTTCCTTTTCGGAAACCGTTTACATATTTACGTTACATTATCACTTCTTATAGAAATATATTATTTTTGGATGAAATAATTATTACCTTTTCATCAAAATAGTAATGAAAACAGTAAAATAAAAATGTTAAGAATATAAACAATTACAGAAAGATGAGTGTGTTTGATGTACCATACAATAATAACAATAATAACTGTGTATGGTGCCATTAATTATGGTATACCGCAAAATAGACGTCATTACTAAAAAGTTTTCATTTGTTAAAGGACTAGGTTTGTTCTGAAAAAATTATAAATTATAAAAAAAGAGACGTCATTTGTAACGCCACGACCCGGATACCCGAATTTATTCAAATATCCGACTCGCGGTGTTAAGTAACCTTTTTGAATCGGAAAATGGAGCATTAAACAAAACTTATTTATTTATTGATAATATCAGAGTAACTATTATACATGCGGAAGCTTAACATATTCGTACAAAATATATATTTCAAATAACATCTTTATTGTTATTATCTTTGTTTATGTCATCTCATCCATCCTTCCATCGCCTTAGCATTGTCCTCCGGTTCAGTCACTATTCTGTTTGTGTACCTAAAAAAAATGGAGCCAATCCGATCAGCAAAAGCTGAGTGGTACCAATTATAACAATAGGTACAAAATATAATAGGGTAAACATACACCTTTTCTAAAATTTTTACGATAATAATATAAACACATTTGTTTTATAAAACTGTAGTATCAAGAAAATCAACTTTTCCTTTACTCTTTGTTTAACTAGGACTTCAAGTACTTTGGGTACAAGACGAGCCCATTATCTCTTTCTGGGACTTCAAGTACTTTGGGTACAAGACGAGTCCGTTATTTTTTTCTAGGACTTCAAGTACTTTGGGTACAAGACGAGTCCGTTATCTTTTTCTGGGACTTCAAGTACTTTGGGTACAAGACGAGTCCATTATGACGAGCTCGTACGTACGGCAATGGAGGGGTACTGGTTAACCCTGTGGAACCTTGTGAACCGTAGTTCACATACCAGAAATCGTTTATTAAATTTAGAAAATATAATTTGTATCTGTTTGTGTCTCATTAACTTCTTTGAATCCATATTTCAAATTCAACACATAATATACTTTTCTCTATATACGTAATTTAAAAATAATATATAGAGTATTTTAATTTATATTTGCTTCAAAGCTATCATTTTTCCCTTACTAAGAACTTATTAAAAACTTTCTTAGAATATAAAGAAATAGTTTAAAGCGTAGAATGTTAAAGAATCCTGTCACCGAAGTTGGTCGTTCTCGGTAACCTTCTCCGACGAGGTAACTTTGTTTTTACGTTCAAAACCCAATTTTCCTTCATTTTCTCATCAAAATACTTTTTATACAACATATATAAACAGTTTGGACGTAAAGATTTGTAGAAATTGTATGCCGCTATCGTGACCCATTTTTTTGTCAACTTCCTTAACGTGTTCAGAAATTTGTTTCAAAATCTTATTTTTTTCTTCGCATACCCTTATATAACCATCATAGAATCCTATTGGAAAATATTTTAGACAATTTGGACGTAACGCATGTTTAAAATAAAAACCAACGGCGTTCCCGATCATCAGTGACGGAAATTAAATCAATTGAATATATAACAAATATAGCATATATCAACGTATTATATTAAGTAACGATTGTTATACGGGCGGCAGTACTCACCTTGGTTCAATGGAGGAAAGACCCCCAATGGACAGTAGTTCGTGGTATGTTGACGGACTCTAGCAAACTTCTTCTCCATTAATTTGATGTTGTTCAAGCTTAATAGCTATGGTAGTTCTTACCCTAGACTTAGTTTAAAGCTCCTACGAGTACTTGTTAATTTTTATCATTTACGGAGTTATGTGCGGTTCTAAGTTATTTTATGCACATGTATATATATAGCCCTATTCTTAAGTACTAAGTCTTGATCTAGTTGCCAGCATGCTAAGGGATAAGCTCAAGAGTTAGTGGCATTACTCATTACTAGCCACGTGTGTATACTTGGATAAGTATTAAATTCATCACTTATCACAATACATTTTGTTTTTGATAAATTATAAAATTTACACCTTCAAAATATAAAACTGCAATTATGTGTTAGTAATATCTACTTATATTTTAGTATTAACTTTATCATGACACAAACTTGGTTTTAACTTCTTTTTTTTGAATACTTTAATTCTCCATGACCTTTTAATTTGTAAATCTTTTTTTTCTAACAAAAATAATACTCCGTATGTTATTTAAAAAAACATATATAAAATATTTATAATTTATTTGTTTACTTCTAGACCCATTTTTAGGGTGTTACATCATTAATTATAGTGTGTCCCAAAATTATACTTATTATTATGAAATGGATGACAAGGGTTATTGATACATTTCCCAAAAGAAGTCAAAGTATTTTTTAATAAAAAGTATTCATTTCTTTAATAAAAAAAATTTAGTTTTTATTAATAAGCTAAATTTATTATACCTTATTTTTTGTTGAAAGAATACAAAAATATATGTGTATATCGTAATAATAATAAATGTAATAATAATAAGAATAATAAAAATAATAAAAATAATAATAAACATGATAATAAGTGTAATAATAATGACAATCGTAGAAGATAATTATACCTTATTTTGGTTGGAAGAATATAAAAATATATATATATATAAGTGTGAGATAATATATGGTAATTGTTGAATTTAGAAATGGTAATTTGTCTTCTATTTGGTCAATTAACAACGGTTACCTGCACATGTTTATATGGTAATAATAATAATAATAATAATAATAATAATAATAATAATAATAATAATAATAATAACAACAACAATAATAATAATAATAATAATAACAATAATAATAATAAATGTGAATGGTGCCATTAATTATAGTGTACCCCAAAATAGAGGCGTGAATATTTAAAAAGTTTCCATTTATTACAGGGATAGGTTTGTTCCGAAAATTATAAATTATAACAAAAATTGACGCCATTGAATAGAAAAAAGGAACAAAAATTTTCATACTATAAATATGGTCATTTTCAATCACTTTCGTAATTAGCCTCGCTAATTTTTTTTTGTGTTTTTAAATAATATTCCTTTATTTTTATGTGGTATATAAAGCTCTCCATTTTATTATTAGTTCCGCAAGAAAAATGGTAAAAAACCATTAAATATGAAGAAAATTTGTAGCCAAAATTTTGATTTGACTTATTTATATTTTTAAAACTATACACATAAATTTAAGATTTAATTGCAGAAAGGATATTATTAGATAATTGGTGATGTGGTTGACATTAAAAATACCAACGAATGATGTTATCTTGGTTCCAGGTTTAAGTGCAAAAACTATGACAGATCGTGAAGGAGTGTATATGTTAAATATTGTAATTCAATAATTTTTAATTACTTTGTACCTGAAAATAATAAAATCTATATATTCTATTAGATATTAATTTGTATTTTTCAAAAAATGATCTTAATCTAATAACGTAAATATCACTACAAAAAACTCCCGAAATTGGCACGGAATATTAGGCACGGACATTCCGTGCCTATGCCGAAAAAAAGAAAGATGACACATGGCGTGTTTCTATTTGCGTTTTACTTTGGCTCTGCATTTGTCCGTGCCTAATTCCGTGCCAATAGCGTAAACGTTAAGACGTTAACGGTGTTGTCGGACGACGATTATTCTAACTAATATGCACGGATTTAGCCGTTCCAATCCCTTACCCTTCTCTAAAAAGTCAAAATCGAAAAGGACAAGACTATTTTGTCATGGAAATAGTCGTGCCTAAATCCGTGCCTCTACCCGTAAGTACATAATTTTATTTATTTAAACATTTAAATCATACTCATAACAAAAAACTTTTATCTTTTAAATATATTAAAATCGGAAGATAACAAGACTAAAATTAGAGAAAAGTACATGATACAACTTTTTTTAGATGAAATAAAGAAAGAACTACAAAAATAAAAAATTATAAAAACTTATCCAAATAAAATATCTACATCTATCGTCTTTATCCAAATAAAACAACTACATCCTAAAGTTTTTGTACTAAAGTTTTCTACTCCCTCCGTCCTAAAATATAAGCAGCACTCCATTATTTAAAAATCACGGGAACCTTTATTTATTTTTGCATTTTCATTAATTATTTGATAGAATAAAATATTCTTGTCACCACTTGTTTTGTAGAACTTTTAATGTAGTTTTTAAATATGTAATTTTTTTAATTTGTAGGCCATTCTTTAAATAAAATGGATTGAAAATTTTTTGGGACAGAGAGAATATAAAATTTTTGTACTATAAAGTAGTTGGAAGTAGTTCACATTGCAATAATTGCAGTTCACCATTTCTTTATATATGAAACCATTTCATCCAGAAACATACGGAGTATTTCAATTTCCTTACATCTATCCATCCAGGTACGATATATTTTTGGATTTTTAATTTCATTACATTCATTCAGTAAGTTTGTGTAATATGAACTTTCATTTCAGTAAGTATGTGTGTAATATGTTTTTTTGGAGTTTTAATTTCATTTCATCCTTTACGCGAATGTTTAATATTTATACATAATTTACGTGAAAAAACATCTTCTATCTCGCTAATAAATATAGTTAGTTGATGATTTATTTACAATAATGTACATTTTGTAAATTGCAATTCACTTTAATATATAGATTTGATATTTAAAAGAGTTATTACAGTTAAATATTTTAAAGTTCTGAAACTAGTGACATTCCGTACTAGGCACGGCGGGTATAGTGCCAATAGCTGTGCCTAGTGAAGATTCCCTGACAT